TTAACCAATGTCAAGTAGGATGGTGAAAGGATCATGAAATGCTAACTTGGAAGCTTTAAAGCATTAAGTACTTTTTGCAGATTACGTATGCAAAGAAAGATACATAAGGTAATGTTTTATAATATTACACATGTGTATTCGTTGCAGATTTCTTGGCTAGCTGTTGGAAATATACGTAGGAAACCCACAAGAGACTTGAAGGTGTGTTATATAAATCAAGAGCTTAGAACTCAAAAACATCAGATAATTTTTAGTAAAAGGTACTTTTAGACTTTTAGTAGTGCAAAACATTAATTTCACACATATATATATTATAGCCACATACAAAAATCAGAAATATTAATCGAGGAAGTAATTTTTTTTTTTTCTTGAAGTTCATCAAGATTGAACCAATTTGAGGGAGGTTTATGTGGGCATTATGATTTTTTGTCATTACAGAGATTTCATATGTTTAAAGCATGAGAACAAAATGTGACCCTATTCAGTTCAGACGTTTAAAAAACAGTGGTGTGGCGAAGAACATAAAACATAGTTAATGCAAAAATGGATCTAAATCAGTCAACATACAATCATCTCGAAGATGTATAAACCGATCAATAAACCGGTCCAAAATTTAATTTAATTTTTCGCTTTTTGTTTTTAAACCGATCAAAAAACCGGTCAATTAAGGGTATTGGGCTTGGACCGTGTAAGTAGTCTAGAACAAAGTGGCTTAGGTTTTGTTAAAACGCCTAACCAAGCTTCAATGTATCATCAAAACCAAAATTTTCAAAGCTGATGCTTAAAGAAAGAGTTGAATAGCGAGCTTCGATGCGAAGACGATCGTCAAGACAAGACATTCCCACACAAAAATAATAATAATCACTTTACAAATAGATCACCGAATTTTTTTAGGGATTTGTTGTATGGTTTTGATTAAGAGCCATAAATTAGGAACAATCGATGAAGACGAAAAAAAGTGATTCAGTTCATAGTTTTGTTGTGTCTCTATAACAAAATTCTGAGGATGATTATATTTATTTGAAATTTCATCTTTTTTTTTGTTGTATACTTAAGATGTCAATTGTTTAACTCTCTTGCTCAAATGAATGTGATGTTTCCACAGCGGTTTAGACAAGCCGCGGAAACCGTATTTTGCTGTGACAATACAAATGTATCTCAAAACTGAAAAATCTCTAAAACAATTATCCAATTAATTCTCGTATTATCTTCGTATAGTTGATTGGTCTCTAGGCATTACAAGACTACGATTGCCTAATTATTGTGTCTATCGATATTTTGAACATGTTATAAACACCATATTCCTAAAGTCTATATAGTTTTGACTATAAGAAGTTGTCATCTTCATTTACAGTTAATTTTTGTATGCTAAATATATACTAATTAAATGTAGCCTTTTATGAAACGTTATAGCCCAACATCTCAA